CCCCCAAATGGATTACAAAAGGTTGGGAACCACTAGACTAGATAAAAGGTAGCTAATGAACAAAACCCACCACCAAATCTTGTGCTACTCTCGTTGATTAGTTGGTTTTGGCCGTGACTCTTATAACTCACTTCTCCCCAGCGGCACAGCGATAAGGCTTATAACGCTAAAGACCAGGTTTCTAATCGGTGGTGGGCGCAGAACAGATAGCCCATTGGGTAGCTTTATCCTAAACTTCAAAAAGAAACTTATAACTTACTATATTTTTTTTTGCGGCGAAGAGAATTGATTCCTATTTTTTCCTGCTGTGAAATTTCTATAGTTTTATTTGTGACTCTCAGTTTCTAATAAATAAATGTTTGTTAAACAGATATTTGATGGCCTGCATTTGTTTAAAACATTTTGTAAAGGTTAACACTTTTTTGAATTCGTTCATGAAAACACTCTTTACGTTACCTTGGTGGACTTGGAATGGAGTCCGTATAGGTTTTAGTGATAATACCACGTCTAATTCAATATCCCAGTAGAAATCAAAAACTTATAATTGTTATAGCTGAAGAGTAGCGTGGTTGTGAAAGGAGGGGGAAATAGCAACTTGATGGTTTAAGTGGCTGAAAAGGCAAACAGTGTTTCTCTTGTAAAATATCAACGAACAAAATTATATACAACAGTAAACCTATTACAATTTTTGTGCTGCGTGAAACCCATTTCATTAAGTTCTTCCTCCCTGATATCATTCACTGACAGTAATCAGTCAATACTGTTAAAGAGAAAGTAACGCAACAATTAACATGTTTTTATGTAAGTAGCATGAAATATGTGTTTAGTAACAAATAATGTGAAAGGAACCTCAACGTGAAATACGTATTAAAACCCCTCGATTTACTATGTAAAAAGCAAGAAAGATAAATCTTTATATACACAGCGTGGTCACAAGTAAATAGACACTACCTTTTCAGAAAAAATGAAAATTTTCAGTCATATTCACATGAATTGATATATTTATAATTTAATTAATATCTAGTAGATCTTCCTTTCGCTTCGTGGAGTTTGTTGATCCTTTGGGGCATCGTGAGAATCATTTCGTCAATTTTAGATTGTGGGATTTTCGCCCACTCTTGCTTCAAAACTTGGAGTAGATCGCTCTTCGAAGTTGGTTTTTTGGTTGTTTCTTGACATGCTGGTCGAGTATGGCCCAAAGGTTTTCGATGGGGTTCATGTCAGGAGAGTGGCTCGGCAAGGGCAACTTCTAGATACCATATTCTTCCTGCCTCTTTTGGGTGTTTCTAGCAGTGTGACACGGTACTCCATCTT